TACCGTAAACCTCCGAATATAAGCCCCCCACCCGAATATAAGTCCCCCCCTCCCGTGTATAAGCCCACCACATGTACTAACGCTCACCTCATTCCAAATATAAGCCCACTTGTTTATCAGTTATCACCATTTATTGTTAATCACTATTATTACTATGCTTAACACTTGTTTATCACTATTACTATACTTGTTTGTCACTATTACACTAACACAAAAGATCGTCCATGTATAAGCCCCCTCCCCCCGTATATAAGCCCCTCTTTGTATAAGCCCATCAAAAATCGCTTACGGAAAAATATAAGCCCAGGGCTTATAGTCGGAGGTTTACGATATTTTGTTCTTAATGCTGAATACCTCAATGGCCTTGGCAATGTTCCTCGAGCATATTCTGCTGGGAAGGAGTGGTCAAACTCTGCCAATCGGTGAACTATAGAACACAAGCTAGAACTAAGATTATATGGCGATCGATTGTTGTAACATATTGTAATAATGAGAGATTGAGAATGCACAAACAGGCCGGGGTTGCATGGTGATCGCGATCTAATTAATGCTAATTAGCTAAGTGCTTAGCCATGATTTCATGATAATATATAATACTTGACAAAACCCTGCAACTCTCTAGCCTGTGTGTCAGTAACAGTGTAGTCAACTGGAACACAGGCTATTGTAATACTATACGTACTACTGTGTACTTACTGTAATTTTAGATGTTACAAAATATATTTTTATATACAGTTCATAATACTGTTTGATTATAGCGTACTTGGATGATTAATTGCCTGCAGAATTATTGTTTAACTATTTCGTTTTAGCGTATCTTATTCAGTTGACGCAACATCATTTAACCAACGAAAGTGCACGATGTTTCGTACTCCGACTTTGACCGTTATTTACTGGTTGTTATAACTAAAAAAATTGGTTAAATCAACCAAAATATTATTGGTGAAAATCCGTACCATTTGTATTATAGTTAAAACAACCTATATTTATTTGGTTGAAATATGCTCAATTTGACAGTTTAAATTTTAGTCATTTTAACTTTTGAATATAGGTTGGAATTACTTTTTTTAATTGGTCAAAATAACCATAAATCTTTAGTTCAATCAACCAATAATTAATAGGTTAAAATGACATATTACAGATTTATAGGTTAAAGTAACCATTTTCGATGGTTTGTTTTAACCTATTTAATTTTAGTTGTTTTAACCTATTAAAACAACCTATTTCTTATGGGTATAAACCAACCCATTTTTAATGGTTTGTTTTAACCTATTTATTTCTGGTTCTTTTAACCTATTGAAATAACCTATTTTTATCGGGTTGTCCTAGACCAAACCAAATAACCTTTTGGTTATTTTTTGGTTATTAATTTTTTTTGGTTATTTTAACCTATCACTTTTTACAGTGTACGAATACAAATACATATTACAAAACAAATGGTATACAACGTCAGGAGTTCGCCAAGGGACAGTGCTTGGCCCGCTCCTATTTTTATTGTACATTAATGACTTGTCGGACAACTTGCAGTCAACTGTGAAACTCTTTGCTGATGATGCCTTATTATATGGTGTCATTACGAGTGATTCAAATTGTGACCGCCTACAGGATGATCTACATAAGCTAGAACAGTGGCAAAATCTATGGCAGATGGAATTCAACCCCTCAAAATGCAAAACCTTATGCATTTCCAATAAAAAGCATCCTCCCCAAAAGCGGTATTTGTTTTGTGGAGTAGAGCTAGATCAAGTGGAAGAAATATCTTACTTGGGCAATACTTTCACTAGTAAATTAAAATGGAATCACCATGTCTCTTCGGTGGCAAGTAAAGCAACGAAAGTTCTTGGTGTGATGCGACGTAATCTGTGGAATTGCCCCACGAAAGTGAGAGAAACAGCATACAAATCCATTGTACGACCCAAGCTAGAATATGCATCAACAGCCTGGGATCCTTACACTAACAAGGACAAAGTGGCTTTGGAAAGAGTGCAGAGAAAAGCAGCGCGTTTCTGTTCCAAGAACTACAATCCTATGTCAAGTGTCACTGATATGATTGAAGATCTAAATTGGGAAAGTTTAGAAGTTAGAAGAAAGAAAGCTAGATTGACATTGTTGTACAAACTCTCTCGGAATCTTGTAGACGTTGAAACAAATAATTACTTGCTCGTAAATAATGAGACCAGGACTCGTGGCAGTCATAGCTATAAATATAGAGTCCCAAAAACTACCAAAGATGTTTTTAAATTTTCCTTTTTTCCTCGCACGATTAGGGAATGGAATTTACTTCTCGAAGAAATTGTGAGCTCAGAGAACCTCCTCCAGTTTAGAAACAATTTAAGCAATTCTTTTTAATAACAGTAAATATTGTTGTAAATATAAATTTTTAGAATAGGTATAGTTATAAATAGTTGGTGTGATATTCGAAAGGATTTTACCGACTTAACAAATATAGATGTAGATTCGTCAGACTAACAGAGGAAATACTTCTATTGAAAGAATTTAAAGATTCGCTGTTTCTTACTTGTTCAGGAATGCTATTCCAGATTTTAACCCCACTATATCGAAAACATTTTCTGCCATACTCGGTATTTGGTCGTGGCAGAAAGAGAGACGAATTTGAACCTCTTAAATTATAACTGTGGATATGGTTAGAATTCTTAAACATGAGACGGGCCATGTTATGTTTTCGCCTTTCTTCCAAGCTTATCCACCCTAATTGATCGAGGGCCAGTTGAGATTGCCCAGGCTCATCTTTAAAGTTCATTATAATTCTAGCACATCTGTTGTGAAGTTTTTGTAGTCGTTCAGACTGGCCTCTATTAACTCATTCTCATCCGGTCGAAAAGTAGCAATTTCGAGTGGCGTTGTTTCAAACGCTTATATCTCTCAAATTATATATCGCACGGAAACAGAAATTGCATCGTTCGAAAGAGGAAGACTTCTGCTTTCCAACGATACCAATTTCAATTCCATCCGGAGCTTGGTTAACGATTTACTCGCATAAATTTGCATAAATTATGATATAAAAAAATGTTGCAATTATGCATAAATGTATTTAGCGGTTCAAATTTCAAATATGTCAAAAAATTTTATGAGTATGACTGAAAGACACGGTTATGATCTACAAGTACCCGAAGTTTAATGCATGTAGCATAAATAGAAATATTTTTATTGAATTTTTATATAAACTAGGTAGTGGAGTAAAATTTACATTTTGTGCTCACATGAAACAAATACCTTTATCAAAGGTCCTTTTTTATTACTGCAACATGTTATCAATACAAATTTCCAATATTTCTTACTCTCCAAAGATAGTATGGCACCAAAATAAGTCTGTGATACCCACAAAAGAACACTCAAATCATGATTAGCAAAATGTCTTTATTTCTACAATTACTACATACATTCTTAGATAATCATTACATCATTGACTTTAGTTATTAGTGGCATAACCAGCCTCAAAATTTGGTCATGCTATTCAAATTTGAAATAATCACTACTCATTTGTTTAGAAATTGATTATTTTCACAATCTAGAACATGAAAATATTTGCAAATAGCATGACCAAGTGTTGTTGGGCTGGCATCATCATAATTAGTAGTTATAAAAAAGTAATGTTTTCCAAGGCAGTAATGTTTGCTAAAGCAGTAATGTTTGCCAAAGCACATAATTGGATTATGTGGTGAAAATATTTTCTTTATATTGT